GTTTGAATGTATAAGATGAATAACGAGGTTTTATCATTTAGCTACATTAATTCCAGGAATCAGCGCGTAAAACCTTCAATTTTTCATTCTAATTATAAAATATTATAAAATCTTTGTTTCTATCGTACTTCTTTTGAGATAATGTACCCAAGATTGCTGCGCAACCGTATTCTCAAACACTCTCTCCAAGTAGAACAAATGCGTTCCATTACTCCGCTCGTGATCGCACCGTGATTTTAATCCCGATCAAACTTTCCAAGCGAGACGATAAATTTACACAAGGAAACCGTCCGGGCTATCGAGTGTCTCCCTTCCTAATGAAACGCGGAAGAAAAAACTCGCGAGGTCCCATCTGCGCGCGCCAATGTTTGAGACGGAGTGTCTCGTGGCGCAATCTCGGAATTAAACAAAAGCTCACGGGTTCTTCCCGTCCGCCTACAGATCGCTCGAAATGGGATGCCGTTTCGTTCTCGGTAGGCGAAAGATCGAAGGTACACACGGGGAGAGAGAGTCAGATTGACAGATGGACAGGCATTAGGATATGTTTCTCTTCTGGCGGCACGTGTGAGAAATACAGAGAAGAAAAAGATAAAGAAAGAGCGAGAAAGAGGAAATAGGAATAGGCCTCGAAAGATTTCAACACAACCATACTCCGGTAGACCCTCTTAAGGACAGAAATCATCTCCTTATCCCATGGGACCTTCTATCCCTGCCGATTCCCTGCTCTACATAAAACCTAGAAGGGCGAAGTGCCGCCGGTATATAGGTATCGCCAGGCAGTATCTTTCAGACTGTAAATTCCTCGGAGTATCACAGAGTGTCTAGTGGCTGTAAAGTTCGCGGGATATATATGTAGCGCATAATAGTATCCGGTATCCGCTATCTGAATTCTCCCGGCCATAGAGTTGACGGTGTTCGTGTAAGCTGGGCGTATAGAGGGGTCTCGCACACGGTCAGGAGGGAAAACGGGGAACAAAGCGGCTCTGGAGCTCTAGAGGCTCCTGTTAAAAGCCTGTGTCGGTCTCTTTCCTTCATTCGTCGGACGACGGATCTATCATCCATTCTTTATCGACGGCCATTCGTGCCCACGCTTGCGAAAATTGAATTCCATTGTGGCGGCTATTGCAGGCGACCGCGGCGAGTCGCCCGTTTAATGCATTAAGCGCAGCGAGTCCACGAATATGCGACCGTATGTCGGCCTGTACTGTTTTGGGTTGCAAATGCCGCGCCCCGCGCGAGATCCTTTTATTTTTCCTCGCACGAATACATGCAGCTAATACATTTGTTTCGCGCGGAGACGTGTCGCGTATCGACAATGGGGTGCAACATCACGAAGAAAAGTTACGTTAATCTTATCGAATTCCTTATTTCCAAATACAAAAATGAGAATATATGTTTTTAGTAAACCGATAACAATCAGCGTCCGAATTTTTTACTTTATGGATATAGATAAATAATAGAATAAATTTTATTTAAATAAATAAAATAAGCCGCAATTTTGCAAAATAACAATTTTGCAAAAATATATTCCTTTTACAAAAAGCTACATGTTTATCAAATTTATATTTATGAGAACTTTTAATGTATTTTATTAAAGTGATGCGGGTAAGGAGAGACTAAAAGCAGAATTTAGTGGAAGATAACTATCTGCCACATGCATATTTATAAGAAACCATAAAATGATACCTATTTTAAGAAAAATATCGAAATATCTTTCACAATGTGGCTAAAAAATCTACATACTAAAATCTATCGCAACATTTTTTTAATATATTTTAATTGCATATATAAATAAATGTATATTTTTAAGTTTTACTATGTAAAATGGTTAATTTTTTTACTATGTGTTTAAAAACTTTTATCCTCATTCTATACATATATAGTCTTATTTTTTATTTTATTAATAAATGTAATGATAACAAAACTAGAAACAGAGACAATATTTTAAATAATTAAATGAATATTAATCTTAACACACAAAATTATTATTTTAAACTGTTACATATTTTTTCCAAAATTCTTCCACATTGCGCGTATAACGCATATAAATTCAACAACGTATGTGTATTAATAATTGTAGTCTTCCAGATTTCTGATATATCAATGTACTTATTGATCTTGAGGGTTGTGCTAAGATTAATGTGTGTAAAGAGAAAAACTGCGGAGGTTTATCTTCGCTCTATAGACGCATGTAATGCAGTACCTCCAAGCTCATGAAAACCATTAGGAAAAAAATTGCGGAACGACCCAGAAAAGGAAACAGCACGCATCCTGTAATTCACCCCGTATTCTCTCCCATCCCTTTTTCTTTCCACCATCAGCATACTCTCCTTCATCATTCGTCCTTCTTTTTTCGCGTGTCGCGACCTTCGTTCCGCTTCCCTGGCAGCGGGTATACGGCGGAAGTGTAGGAACTGAAGAAGGGTGACTGAATTTTATCAGGAGAAATGTATACCTACACTACACTGCGAACGTCAGATCTTAACGTCGTTCTGAGGCCGCCGACATTTTAGACTGTCTCCTCAATATCGCCATTCTGGAAATGTTCACGAATGCCATTCCCGACTCCGCTCTTCCGTGAATTTGAGGAAAATAAACGGAATGCCACGGCGCAAGTGTTTTATACTAGCAGTATCGCGTTGCTCACGACCTGATTATTATATAAAATTACTCTAACAACAATACGCTGCTTTTGCAAATCTATATATTTATTTTATTTTCCGAGGCTTGATTGTACGTTTAATTTTTTTTATGCGATTTAATTTCAAGCTACACATTTTTTGCTTTAAAGGTAGACAATATTTATTGACAACTGCTAACGGTTTGTAAATCCGTAAACTGAAAATGCGTTTGAAAGTTCTTTAGTATTTTCTGAGATATCTAGAATCTTAAAGCTGCAGAGCATTTTAAGAGATTAGCAATAAAATATCTTCCAACAGAGTACCTACAATATTTTTAACGACAAAATGTTTTAAATATCATATTATTCTTACCCATTGCATTATACATGGGATCCGGGTTGAGAACGCGGGCAAATTATTCATATAGAAATACTATGCGTATTCTCTCAAGAAAGTTCTACTATTTTGAAGATCATAAAAGATGTTTTAAAGATCTGTACAATTTGCCATTATTTTTTCCGATACTATTCTACAGAAATATCGGTTTCTGTTTACTACATCATAAACATTATTTAACGTAATGACATACATGCTCAATTACGATTAACGCCAGACCGAGTAATAAGTGAAGTAAGAATATTCTCTTTCCGCTGCGCCTTAACAAGAAGCGTTACTTGAATATGTAAATATGCAAAGAGATATTAATCCCTAGTGAAAAACACAATGTTGAAATTTTGTTCTCGGCATTTGGCGTCGTTGTTGCCGCCCGCGCTCCCTCCCGTAAAACTTCATGCATTATTCTACGCTTATGCACGGAAAAGAGAAAATACCGAAATTTGACATTTCATTTCCTCCAAACCTGACGTAGTGCGAGCGTTAAAGAAAGATGAACATTACACATTCAAATATCTTGCAATATTTCAGAGCAGGAAGCATTTACATACGAGAAAAGAAATGATGCGGATTTAAAGATTTAAAGAGACCTGCTTCATTAAAAGAAATACAGATTCGTTAGAATTTATTCCGTAATTTTCAATTGCTTTGTTAGATAATTTTGCGGCTTATCAGAATGTGCGCGTTGCACATAACTAATACAACGATTTCTTGTGTATAAATTAATTGTATTAATTAAAGATAAAAACAAGCGAAAATAAATTGATGTAGTCAGTAGAAAATATTAAAATTATTTAATTATATTTTGTTAATTGAATGATGGTCACGCACTTCATTAACTTTGAACATTATTTTACATTTATAACAATTAAAAGTTCTGGAGTAATTTTCACAATCAATAATTTTTACTAAGGTCAATTGACTCGGCTTTTTGACGGTAGGTTTTTCAATATTTTTCTCTCAATCGAAGTCGGTCGTAAATCATTCGAAAGCGAACCATTCTGTTTTTATCTATTCGTCCAACCAACAGTTATAAATCGTATCAGTGTATCTTAAAAATTGCATTTTCTTAGAACCATTGTCACATTTTGGTACAATTTTCTCTAATACTTTTGGAAATAGTTTCAGAAATAATATTCGGAAATACTAGAAAATTGTGTACGTTATGAATAATTTTCTTGATATTCCGCTTTCGCGAATCCTTTATGATATACATTTGTGGTATACATATCGCTACATATATACGTATTTTCGCTACCAAAATACTCGCTTTAAAAATTTCCGCCATCAGAAAGTGCATGGCATAATTTACCTTTTGATACCAGATCCGTTCAACCGAGGAAAATTGAGAGGCAATGCAATGCAAATAAAAGAGCTTCAGTTGCATACGATGAACACGCGCATATTCTATGAAAAAAATCCAGTTTTCAAGTACTATCATGAGGAATATAAAAAGGCACGTGCACGCAGGAAATCTCGCAGGCGTGAGTAATGCGAGTTCGTCCACTCTCGCGTAGATTAGTCTCAAAGGATTGCGTTGTCGACGAGCTAACTTTCGCGAGCACGCAAACAAGCCTTCGGTATAACTTTGCCCGCCGCTCCGTTCCTCTCTGAGAATTATCGCGCAAGAACGTTGC